GTCTTCAACATCTCCCGAAACAGACATAAATTCCATAATGGAAGACACCTGTTGCAAACTCCATCTGATAGATGGTGCTGATTTGTCATAATTGTTTAATTTTTTTTTTTAATGTTAAGACTGTAGCTAAGGTATGTTGTGTATTGTCAAGAGTTCATGATTATATAATAAGTCCATGATTATATAATGTATAAATAAAGAAATACTATGCAAAACAAGTTCAATTATTGTTCCTGAAGCTCATCAGATCAAGAACAAGGTAAGAACTTTTCATTTTATTTGAACTGATTCTCGATTAAACTCTTTTGCTTTATGATGTCGGAACCTGGGAGATATAGCTATTGAAAATGGCATAACCAAGTGAATTAGAGACACTAAAGAGAAAAAGAAAAACTATTTAAACTTCTTTAAGTGACACATTGAAGAAGAACAATACTGATTATGACAATTTATATGATTTAAAACCTCAGTTAGAAGAGAAAGATAATGAGATCTATCAAATAGATTCTACTATAGAAAGCATTATAAGTGATTTAGAAATGCTTGAAACTAATGTTCTGACAAGCCAGGAATACCGCGAAAAGATTACGAGTTCCAAATAGTAATTAGAATAATGAATCATAAACGAATAACAAATGCTTCTGAAGATCAATATCTGATGATAATTGCTCATATAATGAGAAGTTTACTGCTTGGCAGTTAAGTCCAAAGCTTGCAGCTATTACTGGAACTGTTTTATCATGACAAACTGCATATAGAAGCCTTAATGAAAAAAGGACTTTATGCTAGAATATGTGTTTTCCCTGTCTTCATAACAAAACAGGGATGGCTTTAACTGGTACAAAGAACATCAAAACAGGAGTGAACATTAATGGCCCCATGTTTTCTTTACTGATGAGCTGGGATTTAGTTTAACTTCTGATTCTAATGATATCTGAAGGAATGGAAAATTGTTCTTTGGACAATGTGGAATGTGACTTTTTCGTTTCTGCAGGTGTGATGATATGGCCAAATGATATAACAGACCCAAAACAAAGTACAGAAGAACCATAAGAATTGTGAAGATTTTGTTTTCATTAGAAATAATTGTTTTAGGATCAAAATGATGAAAATTTTCAATTAACAGTTAAGTGAAAATGAAGCTACTGTAGACTTCCAAGAAATGGACATTTACCCTCCACCAAAATTTGTGAAAATAGACATTCATTCCTAACAGTACTGACTAGCCACCTTTGCAGATTTATGGCCACCTGGAACATAAATTACAACTTTTTTTAACATAGGAACTTGTGTTTTGGAAATATATTTAACCCTTTGATTACTAATGGGGCATTTATATCCCAAGAAGTTATTGACAGGTACCAACCCTCTTCAAAGTTAAAAAAACTTGTAATGAAAATTAAAATAAACAATTTTTTTATTGTATATATAATGCTACATAGTAGAATGAAGTGAAAAGTTTTCACTGAGACTTAGACATGTCCATTTGAATGTGATAAAGAAAGTTAAAGAAACATACCATTTGGTGATATTATTTTTTCCTTCAATAACAGGATTACTGCATGAAAACACCGACACTTTAATTTTCTGTCATATGAGATAATATTAATAGCCCTGACATAGAAGTAAAATGTACCAATATGTCAACCTACTTGTTATATGACTAAAAAAAAAAAAAAAAAAAAAAAAAAAAATAATAAAAAATGTAAACAACTGACTGCTAAGCCTTCATTACAGACTTTTGATGCATGCACATCCATATTTTAATATAGCAAAATTATTTCCCCCATCTCTTACAACAAAGAACACGCTGCAACGAATTAAAAACGAAACAAAATAAGTAATAATATGCATGATTTTTTTATGAAGTCATATCACATAAATAATATATATATATATATATATATATAATTAATATAACAAATGAATTTATTACAAGTTAGTTACAATGATTATTACAAATCATATATTTCAGAATGTTATTCGTATATTATTTTTACCCAATTTAAACAATAGCGGGGAGATCTTTCGCAAACTTTGCAGAGATAGATGGCATTTTTAAATTTTCCCTGGGAATAGCAGCTGTTGCACTACTTTCATAATATCTTCCCTCCCCCTTTTTTTTTTTTCCTGCTCACAATTTGTGCACATATTCCATTTCCGATAGATCACACATAGGGGCATGAAGGTCAGATGGCTGTTTTAATAAACATCTGGTCACTGATTAATGAAGGTAATAAAGTGACATATTCCCTTTGTAGCATTTGTTACAGATAAAATAAGTATTCATCATCATTATTTGTAAAATATGCATAAATATTCTGGTAGGCCACCTGATAGGGTAAGTGCCACCTAATGCAAAAATATTTTGGTGGGCCACCTTTCACATGGGTAATAGGCAAGCATTTGATCTTGCTTGCAATAAATTCATTACATTGAATTACAGGAAGCGGTTTTGATTCATTTCACCTTTTTTTGTTTGTTGTCTCACCAATATCATTTTTTGTATTCATTAGAAATATGACATCTTTTTAATCCTTCTACTTAGCAATCTTTACACCATACTCTGTCACAATTTGTCCTTTCTTCAGTTTTTTTTTTTTTTTTTTCTTTTTTTCCAATTAACCTCTTTCGAAAATGTTTCCCTGTTCTTTCTGATTGTCCCAGTACAATGTATTTTTTAATCAGCAAGACATTTCACCAGTTCATAGCTATTATACTAAATAACTGCCCTCAAATATGCTATGTCCTATATGTTACATTTCATTAAGTAAATTCAGCATAATTTTTTGTACATGAAGATTTTTACCAGAATCATCTAAAATACCAGTATAAGTATAAATTTGAGAACTAAATATCACTATATGTTGTTATCATATATAACTTGATACCATATTATGGCATTTCTTTGCACTAATAAGTTGCCATGCCATAGTATCATGGATTCTTGATTCGTTGCACTAATACGTTGCCATGCCACAGTAGCATTGTTTCTTGATTCTTCTAAACCAATCTCTCGTCCTGGATATTATATTTCAAAATAACCATTCATTGACCAAATTCACCATGTTTCTGCCATTATATATCCTTTGGGGATTCTGCATTCTGCTCTGGGATTCTGATGAAGTGCAATGCCCTCAATAATAACAAAAACCGATTAATCATATTATCTGAGAATACATGCATGACAAACAGTGTACCTGTTTTTCAGTAATTTTGTATGCAGTTCAATTGTAGGTTCCCATATGTAAAATAATCTCCCAAATACCACCAGTTCATCTTTTGTGATGTCATTCCAAGCATTAATTGAAGAACATATCTTTTTTTTCCTTTTCTTCTTCTTCCCCCCCCTTTTTTTTTTAACACCAATAAAATATTTTATGAACATAGTCATTGATTTCAGCAACTATTTCATACAATATATTGTGATAAAAAGTGGCAAAAGTCAATGGGATTATCACCTGAAACAGACTGCACAAACACTAAAATTTTCTGAAAGGAAATTATTTCAAGCTTGTTGAGTCATTTTGGTAAATTATGTTTTCTACTATAGTGAATCACGATGTTGACATGTTGCTCCTTGCATGACATGTTTGCCATTTTCATCTTCTGAATCCAAAATATCCTCCAAAATATCAATCTTTGAGAGAAAAAAATTCCTTGTCATTATTATAAGTAAAATCACCCGGTAATTGTCTGACAGCTCAGCCAACAAATCTGCAAAGTCACCAGACATCAGGAGCTTTTCATTAAACACTTTTCTTTTCTTTTGATGTAAAGACCTTGCAGAACTGCTGTCTGAACAAATCATGTAACAAGATTATTTTTTTCAACAAGCAGTTATTTTAAAATCATATACATTTACAACTAGATTCTAATCTTCGCTCTATATACTCAAAACTTATTGAATTGGAGAATAAACAAAGAGGTGTAGCCTTTTCCATGCCATTGTGTTACAAGTAGGGAATGTGTTTATATAGACAGTATAATAAAAACAGCATTTTAAAGATGTCATTTTTTAATTTCAGAAATATTTAAAAGTTTTTTAAACACAGAATTTCAGACAGCTGAGATATTATATTCCAAATAAAATTCAGCATTTATAAAATAAAAAATATACATACACAGAAAAAAATAATAGCTAATTTTTCCTGAGTCAAATGATAATGATCCTACTTATTCAAGGGGGGAAAAAAGCAACTGAACAAAATAAAACAGTGATATATAAAAGATTAATGATATATAGAAATTTTATACAAGAATTTTATTTAAATGGGGAAAAACATAAATTAGAAATAAATACCTGATTTTTTAGGAGATGAGCATAATATTGACAAAATTTCCATTCGCAGCTGAATATCCTGATGGTGAAGGTATTTGCAGATAAAGTTTAATTCCTAAAAAAATCCAAATTTTTAAATAAACATAAATTTATATATATATACAGGGTGTATTAGTACAGCAGTGACAAACTTTCAGGAGAGGTAGAGTACACCTAGATGATGGGAAATCACATAGAAATGCATGGTCGGAAACACTTTCCTGGTGCGGTAGTGACGACGCAAAAGTCAACAAAGAAAGGACACAAACGAGCTGAGAAAACATCTTTATTATTCGGAGTACAAAAAAATAAAGAAAAAACAACATAAAGAGACCATGATCACCATCAAATGTTTTCGAAATTATGACCTGGACAATGCGTCATGCATCTTCAATGCGACCTTCCATTCGTGATGTAGTCTTCCATGCATCAGAGAAGTGAGGTCTGCATCACGGTCCAGAGTTATAATTTCAAAAACTTTCCTTAATGATGACTGTTGTTTGTTTTTGTTCTTATTTGCATGGTTTTTTTTTTCTGCTGTACTAAACATAATAAAACATGTTTTGTCTCACTGTTTGCGTCCTTCCTGTTTCTGCATTTTGTGTCGTCCCTACTGCACAAAAAAGGCGTTTCCAACCATGCATTGCTACGTGATTTCCCATCATGTAGGCGTATTCTATCTTTTCTAATGCTTGTCACTGCTGTACTGATATATATACAGGGTATATATATATATACACACACACATATATCTATTGAGTTGGCAAGAGATTAATTTTGGTTGGTACAAACAGAATTGTATTTACTTTGTTATTCCTCTGCCAATCTTATAATTTTTTTCCTTCCCTTCAAGATTTGGCAGCTAACAGTTTTAGGTTGCTATAAAAACAAATTCTATGCATTTTTTTTTTCCATCTGTTATTTTGTAGTCAATTTCAGCATGGGATGCAAAAATAAAAATTTTTTGACATATTTTACTTTTTTATTTCCATACAAGCTTTCTTCTCACTTGCGAGTAGAGTTGCCACTTCTTGGCTGTCAAAATCTGGGAGAGGGGGGAAAACATCAATTTTCATAACTTATAAACTATTTTGAACTTATACACTGCTCAACATTGAAAATGCAACACCAAGAAGGAGTGGTCAGAAAGTGATGAAATTTGGAAAAAGAGAACAAAGCACAAAGTGACGTATTTACTGATCGTCCCGTCAGAGAATGGCATCGGCACCGTAGGATGTAGCCCACTGCGGACAGCGATGCACAAAGAAACCCGTCTAGGCATACAGTCAATAAGAGTGTGGATGGTGTCCTAAGGAATTGCTTTCCATTCCCTTTAAACCATTTGCCACAGTTCGTCTTCTGAACGAGGCAACGGCAGAGTCTGCAAACGGCGTCCAATCACATCCCACACATGTTTAATTGGTGACAGGTGAGGAGAGTACGGTGGCCAGGGAAGCATCTGTATACCTTCCAGAGTATGTTGGTAGATGCGAGGACTGTGATCGAGCGTTATCCTGCTGAAAAATTGCATTAGGCAGCCCCTGAAGGTAGGGGATTGCCACCGGCCACAGTACATTATCCAAGTATCGTTGGGCGATCATAGTGCCCTTAATACGAACTACAGGTGACCTGGAATCGTAGGCAATAGCGCCCCAAACCATTATGGTTTGCGCTGTGGGGCGTTCCACAGTTACTGCCGGATTAGATCTGTCTTTACGTTGAAGCCACACACGTATGCGGGACTGTCACTGGATAAACAGAAGCGTGACTCATCTGAGAACACAACGTTTTGCCATTCTGTCATCCACATCGCTCCAGTCCGGCACCATTCTAAATGTTGGCGTCTATGCTGTGGGGTTAATGGCAGTTCTTAAGGGATGCCATGAATGCAGGCCACGTTCAAACAATCGACGGGAAATGGTTATGGTCGAGACGGAACATCCAGGGTATCTTGCACATGCTGCAGAATCATGGTACAAGTGAGTTGCGGGACCGCCACAGCTTGTCGGCGGATGCGTCAATCCACGTGTGCTGACGTCACTCTGGCTGCACCTGCACCCCTACTTCTTCCCACATTTCCTTGTTCCAACCATGTTTGCCATACCCGATGCACTGTGATTGCATCCATGTGGGTATCAGCTGCGATTTGACGTAAGGACCAACCCGCCCTTCTCAGTCTGATCACTATACCCCTCGTAAAATCGTATATCTGCCAGAATTGTCCTCGTTGACGGCGGCCTGGCATTCTCTCCTATTACACGTATCCTCCGGGATAAAAACCAACTTTCTTCGATAATTCGTCTGGCAGAAATAAGGTTATGAATACTGTCCATTCGGCACTTTCCTTCCTTTATATCTTACTTCATGTGCATCGGAGAGCTGCGCATTTCACATCATTCGCATAACTCAGTGACGTGCGTCTACTCTAAAATTTGCATAAATTTCTGACCACTCCTTCTTGGTATTGCATTTTCAATGTCGAGCAGTGTATTTTGCATTTGATCATACAGATTTCAAAATATCTGATCTGGAACTAACAAATTTAAAAAACTCTCTGCAGTCCATTTTAAAATTGAAGAACGTTAGGATTTACACCTTGACATGTTCTTCATATAAGCGGTTTATTTCCTTAGTCCATATATCGGATGCTATACTGAAAGCATGCTCGCAGGCAGCGTTTGATACAGGTGTAAACAAAACAAATGAAACTACTTTCTTCAACATATCTCCAACTCTATTTTTGACCGATGAGAAAAATTTTGCCCACCTCAGATCAACTCTTACATTTGATTTAACAATGCTGCCTTGAACCTCCCTCAAAATGCAAAAATCTTCATAAAGTTTATTTTCATCAAAAGTGATCTTTAAATCAATGGCCAAGTCTCTCAAAGCATCCCTCATAATCGGTTTTCATTGAAGTATGCTCATTTACTATACTCTGAGTTTTCAAAATCATACCATTTTTTCAGGTAATCTAAACATCTCTCAAAGAAAATGTCTGCGTCTTTATAAAACGTAGCCTTGTCCATTTCATTTAATTTGTTTAAAAACTCTCTTACTAAACTACCAAAAAATTTGTTATTTTTTGGTGGATTTCAAGCATAACATCGTGCAGTTCTGTGCAAGTAACTTTCGATGATTTTAATTTCATTATCAAAAATTTATATAACATTGTGCAAAAAGTAACAGTAGCACAAAGACAGCGAGTTTTCGTCTTTAAAAGCTTGCCAAATAATTGTACTACATTCTTCTTCCCCTTCTTCAATAAAATACGCCGTAAAGCTGGCCAATTACAAAGCAAATGCTCTATCACTGGCAATAAAGATAGCTATCTGGTTTACACATGGTGCAAAATGTTGCGATACTCAATATTTAAAAATGCGTGGAAATCTTTCAAAGTCTCTGTTCGTTTAGCATATGCTGAAAATTCAGTATAAACTTTCAAGATTAAGGCTTCAACGTCGAATTTTATGCCTTTATACAAATTTTGGCAGTTCTGTAAGGTGGCATTTAAGTGCTTTAATGTTTCATTGTCAATCTTAGTTTTTGATACATAGAATTATTTATGCCATAATTGACAGAACCATTATCAGCAGCAAACAAAGTTACATTCTTTATATCTAAATTATTTTTGATGAGAACTCGACAAATCTAGTTTTTAATCTCACCACTTTTTTCTTGGGGATCGCGGTAAAAATCAAGCAGTCCATGTTTTATCCCACTTTCATTATGAAAATATTGCACGACTACTGGAAACATTTTAACATTGCCTTTATTCGACGCATCTGTTGCAACTGAAAAAAACTCTGCTTCTTTAATCTCAGTTAAAAGTATTTCTTGAGCTGCAGAAGCAAGCACACTCTTGCAAATACTTGTACATTTTGTTCTACGTGCAAGAAATCTTTTTTACTAAAGAAGAATCTAGAAATAGAGTGCTATACAATTTGATTGTGCAATCCCGGCTATTAAAACTATGATGGTGCTTAATCCCATGATAGACTGAATTAATTTCAATTGCTGACATATTGTCCTCTTCTTTTGAAGATTTCTTCATAAAAAAGTTCGAGACCAATTGCGAAGAATCCCTATTCAATATTAACAATTGGTGTTTCTTGATTTGGGAATGTACAGTTATAGCTCTAACACCCTCATACTTAATATTAACCGTTTTACGACATAATTTACATTCTCCATTAAAGTTGTCTTTCTTCATAAGCCAATTAAATTGAGTAACCACTTGTCTTGAAACGACGTCGAATATTTTGTCTTTTTTTTTTGTGGCACTTGTTCACCTGCAGAATCAGAATTGTTTTCTTCACGAGACGTTATCATGAAAGCATTTAAATAATTTCAAAATACGCACTTATTAGTAGATAGCTAGCTAACTGCAGACTAAATGAAAGAATGGATTGAAAATGAGAGAGTGGAGGGGGCGTGCATGAGACACGGCGGCTCCACTACTCCACAGCAAGGCACTTATTCACTGCTCACCGTAGATCACTGCTGCAAAGAAAATGTGTATAGACATTCTTTGGGTGTTGTGTGCGGTCGTGTGATTTTCGATGCTGTCAACCATTTCATCCATGCACATTGTATCACTAATTTCAAGAAACTTGATATTTCGAGAGAGTAATATTTATTTTAAATTCCTTCCAAGAGCCGAGAGATTTGAATTTTCAGGGCTCAATTATGGAAAAGATGGCAACCCTACTTGCGATTGAGGCTTAAAAAGAGATATATGTTTATGGTGCTGATAAGTAAATTTATGGTGTTGATAGCTTAACAGCCCGCATGTGTCAGAATTGGCTTAAAAATTTCTTTGAGATTTTTCACTTGAAGATAAACAACTTTCTGAAGTTTATGATAACAAAATTAAAGATATAATTGAATTGAATCACCACATAACTGAGAGATTGGAAAAAGACTAAAATGTATCAACCATGATAACTGATTTCCATAAAACAACTGAGAAAAAAAGCAACTGAGGCTTACAAAGAGATAAGTGAGGTTTATGGTGTTGATTGCTTAACAGAACACATGCGTCACAATTGGCTTAAAAAATTTCTTTGAGATTTTTCACTTGAAGATAGCCAACATTCTGACTGACTGAAGTTGATGATGACAAAATTTAAGACATAATTGAATTGAATCATCATATAACTAAGTGAAAGATTGCAAAAAGATTTAATGCATCAAACATGACAATTGAAAATCACATAAGATGTCTTGGACTTGTTAAGAAGCTCAATGTTGTTAAGAAGCACATGAATGGAAAGAAATTTGCTTAACACAACAAATCAATATTTGCAATACACATTTCAAATGTAATACAACTGACCCTTTTTAAAATGAATTATCACTAGTGATGAAGAATGGATCATCTACAATGACATTAACTGAAAAAGATTAGGTCTGAGAATGATGAATCAATGCAATATTGAAAGCTCAACTGCAACATAAAAAGATCATACTGTTAATTTAGAGGGATTACAAATGTGTTTTGTATTTTGAGCTGCTTCCAAGCAGAGAAACGATCAACTCAGATGTTTACTGTCAACAACTTATAAAACTGGAGGAAGCAATAATCAAAGAAAAAAAGGCCAGAATTGGAAAACCGCAAAGGAATTCTGTTCCATTATTAAATCTTTAATCCGGACTCGTTGGGACTTCGGCAATTCCGGTTATAGATCATCAGTTTAAATCTGGTAAGATGGCATACAAAAATTATACAATTAAAAATATGAAACCGTAATTTATGAAATAAAGAGCAATTACGATCTAAAGGGTATCAAAATTTACAAAAAAAAGCTTAATATTTATTTGTTTACTTTATTAACATTTCTTTCAACTGCGCACAGCGTAAAGCATACATTACACATAGTCAAAATTAGAACATTGTAACCAGAAAACTATTTGATGTGTATTCATGATATTTATAATGATGAGGAATTTGATTTAAATCATATCAAATAAGGAGTACAATGAGATGAAATACTACATTTAGTAAGGAATTATAAGCCGAATAAAATAAAAACATCTGCCCTGAAGATAAGGATAGTGCTGACAAATCAACTTCCAGTTAATTGCGTGCCACAACAACCCCCCCCCCCCCCGCAGAGCAGCGTGAAATTGATAAACAGATTTCGGAATGGTTAGAGAAACAAATCACCTCTATGTCACTTTCTTCATGCCTTTATCCATTTTTTGCAGCAATTCCACTTTTTCATTGATGGACATCGAAATATGCTTTCACTTTGTAGATCCTTTGGCAGCTCCAGAATCGGAAATTCTTTTGACATAATCGAAAGTTCAAGCTTACTTTTATAAAATTGCTCTAACAGTCTGCCAAAAAATAATAAGCCGGATCCAATTAGAAGATTAAGGAACAACGCAATCTACAACATTAACTGAAATAGATAATTAGATAATTTTAGCTTAGTTTATACTGTCCATTATACATTAAACGCGCATGTGTAAACGTATTATGCGCATGCGTAAAGGTATTATGCATTTATGCATGAGCAGAAAGTTTGTAGCTTTGAGGTCCGGATTAAAGACTTTTGACTATATATGACTAGTTCAAGTTCATTTTTTTGCATAGGAAAAAATTGAGTTTTATTTCACACTAAAAAAATGAAATTACTTTCTTGTCAACCCAATATATATGTATATACATATGTGCATATAGCAGCTGATCAACTCATCTGTGCATATAGCACTATGTTAAAAAATTTGCATATTTGTTTGATAAAATAACTGTTTTTAGAATAAAAATTGCATAATTGAATAGACAACTAACTTTTTCTTTAAGATGGCAGACCCCAATTTCTTTTGCTATACGTAGTAATGTAAACTTTGGAGCAATACTATGTCTATTATCCACTTCTTCTAGTAATAACTCATATGCATTGGGAACATTTTTTACTGTCCATGGAAGTATAATATTACGCACATTTTGAGATAATAACCTGAAAAAAAAGGATTATTTAATATTTTCTAAACAAAGTGAACAACCCAATTCTAGCATTTAAATGTTAATAAGAAACATATTTACTAACTTATCTCTACTGCAAATAGAGTCTATGATGGGTTTTCTCCACCATTTGCAAAATTCAGTAGTCATAACATCATTTTCATTCATATTTCTGGAAATAAGAGACAAATTTAAACTCATTAGATGAGAAATTTTAAGTGGTTCAACAAAATGAATTTTAGGTACTTACATCATATTTGCTACAACTGTTTTATAAACTTCTCCAATGATGGAAGATACATAATTGGTTTGCAAATTCTGAATAATTACTGATGGTGCATCAGGATATTTCTCAAGGAACTATAAATAATTTAAAACAATCATAAATATTTCCTAGTACTTTTACAATTTCATGTACATCAAATATTTAACTGAGATTCCTATATCACTTTCAAACACTTATTGGCTAGGGAATCACACTATGGCCAATCATAATACGTTGATTTTGACTGACATTGGCCATGATCACAATTTTGGTACTTGAATGGTGGTGGCAGGTTTAGCATTTTTCTGTTTGACCTAAATCCTGCCTGAAGTGTTCGCCCTTGAAATTGGGGTGGAAGCTTAACAATTAGCTAGGTTCAGCAATACCTTAATTACCTGAGGAACGACAGAGGTGCTGATCTAGCTGTCCGACCTAAACAACCACTTAGGCAGTATAGCAGGCAGTTAGGCAGACTGCTGTACTGATGGGCTTGGGTGTAATACTGGTTGTGCAGGTTTAGCATTTTTCTGTTTAACCTAAATCATGGGTCCGTGACACTTAGCTGATGGGACACTTAACTGACACCAGTTAGCCGACAGGATATTTAGCCAACAAGGACACTTAGCCAACAAGACATTTAGCTGACAAGGACACTTAGCCGACATGGACAGTTAGCCGACAGGACATTTAGCCGACAAGGACACTTAGCCGACAGGACATTTAGCCGACACGAACAGTTAGCCGACATGACATTTAGCTACGGGACACTTAAATGTCAACACATTTAGTCAACAGGTTACTAAGCCGACAGTGACATTTAACTGACACATACCCAAAAATTATTTACACTATCAATTACAAAATTTCTCGACTACTCCATAAGTTCAATATTTAGTCATTTTTTCCTCTATCAGTAAAATTCATTTTTCAATTCTTGAAGATCTCATATGTGCTATTAATTATCATGTAATTTAGCATTGTTTGATATGTAACGTGCTATTTGGTGTACATTGGCCAATTATTTTCTGATCAGAATTTTTTATTTTAAGGCTAAGTAATATAAATAGTATCTGTTTTAATGCAAATAATTCATAGATCAGACCAGTATTTCTTAAATTGTGGGTTGCAAAGCAAAATGTTCAGGTTGTGAAAATTTAATTCAGATATATGAATTTAAAGAAATTACATTAATGAGACTTTAAAAAAAAATTACATTAATTGTTTTTAATGAGATTAATCACCTGCCATATAAAGCCAAAAACAAATTTGTAGAGCTATTAAGAAACTCAAACTTAACCCTTTGCGACACGCATATTTAAAATATATTTTAATCTTTAAAAAAATGCCTGAGAATAAGTCAGATGGACTTACTTAAGTGCCTTTAAGGCTTGAAAAAAATTCTGCGCTTTTATTTTTTACGGTGGAAGGTGCGATACCGTTTGTCCCACCATGCAACTAACACATGTCTTATAGCATATTGGTGTATAGCAGGGAAAAAAAATTATATGTGGAATGAATAAAGAAAATAAAGCGTGCATTCTAAAATATTCATAATAAACACACTAAAATGCATTTTGTACTTATTGCATATATGCATGACTTGTAAAATTTTGCAAATTGTATAGTATATATTTAATATTTTTAAATTTTAGGAACAAAAGAAAATATTTTCTTGAATATTATTTTAAGATTAAAATTTGATACTCGTACATATGATACTAAATAAAATATTAAAATTGGCACTTGATTCAAAAACATTTATATATGATTAAAAATGAAAAAAGTCATTTTTCATAAAACTTTGAAAAACATGTTGTTTCATTCTTTTGTAAGTATAGGAGGCACTTCACATGTTTCACACATCCAAAATGTTCGGCGTTCTTCTTTCGATGTGCTGCAATATGCACATCTTTCTCCTGCTCGTTCTCTCTGGCGTGTAACTTACATTTTTTAGTCTTTTCTGGTTGTACGAATGGTTTTTTAGTTTTTATTTGAACTGGGGATTTCAGTTCATTTTTCAGCTCTTTCTTGCCTGCAAGTGCCATTAGACCTTCTATAACTGAGAGACTAGAAATCTTTCATTGTGTTTTACAATCATGATCGGGTTCGCGAACAAACTTAAATAGAATAAATGTGTTTACTATACTCGCATCTAAAAAGTAAAAAAAAAAAAAAAAATCATGTGCCAACCATTTCTTGCTTTTGCGGTCCTATTTCATATAATCCTTTCAGTTGATCAAATCAAGTCGACATATTCCATATTCTTATTGTATGAAATAATGCTGTTTGGGCACAGTACTTTTTTTGTTGTTGTTGTTGTTATTGTTTTTCCATCTCGTTCTTTTCTATTAATTTCTTTCATTTCAGTTGCCTTTTCCAAGCAAGACAGGATAGGAACGGATCTTTTATCCTTCCATTTTATGCAATAAATTGAATCATCGCTAAATGAAAAGTCTAATATATTCTCTTGACATAAATTTGTCTTTTAAATTTTTGGGTATACTTCCGATCCATATTTACAGTGCCACGTGCTTAGATGGGTCTGTGTCTTTAAAAAGCGAACAAATTATAACTACTTCCCTTTCTTCTTCAGCAATAACTTCAACCTCAGTTATTCTCTCCTGGATTTCAATTTCATCTGAATCAGAACTGAAATCTGAAGCATTTGAGTCGCAATCGGATGGCAATTCAGCAAAAAGATCCAAAGCTTCCTGAGTTGTTAATTTTTTCTAGACATTTTAGCACATCAAAGCATACAACGGATGTAAAAGCGCGCCGCAATCACGAAAAAAGGTAGATGCAAAAAAGAAAAGAAAAAATAATCGTAAGTGCTGCCATCTATTGTGCGGAAATTCAAGTGTGTGATGGGAAGAAATTTTAACCCACTTATTTCAACTGCAAAATTAATCTTATAAAATATTGAATCCAATTAAGATTTTTGAAAATAAAATTTCTTTGAATATTAAAAAAGAATCATACATATCATAAATTGTATACCAAAATTTTTAAAATATTGAAAAATGCGAGATACATGGATATCACTCTTGTGATCCTATTTTGAATATTTTTTGCTTATAACTTAAGCCCTGGTATAGTAGTAACATCTACTGAGAAAAATAATAACTAAAATAGATTGTTTTTAAAAGATTAGAAAATTTCTAACGGAAATTGCTAACTGAGAAAGTAAATATTAATTAGGTGGGACATATATTGACCCACCATGCCGCAAAGGGTTAAAACTTAAGTTTCCATAAAAATATTTGACTGAATTCTGTATTGAAGCTAGAATTCAATTTCCCACTATTTCTAAAATGGTGTTAAATGTTCTTCTATTCAGCACCATATACTTATGCGAAATGACTTTTTCAGCTTTAACGGTTATTAAATCCCAATGCACTTTCAATACTGAAAAGTATTGAAGATATATTATGTCCAGCAATATGAAATATTACACCAAGCTTTAATTTGTGATGCATCAAAAAACAGCACATCCATCTGATTAAAACATGATTTTCTTTCATTAATTTTTGCATACTTGATATAAATCTTAAAAGTACTTCTTTTAATAAGTATATTGTATACAAAAAAAAAAAAAAAAAAAAAAAAAAAAAAAAATTTGGGGGCGGGGATATTTATTTTTATGTTATTCTATATTAATTATCTAGGGTCACGAAAAAATATCAGTTGTAAAATGAACGATTTACGACGTCATGAACAAAAAAAGTTTTAACACCCAAGCCCATCAGTACAGCAGTCATCGTGACTAACCACTATACTGGTTGGGCGGCTGTTTAGGTCAGACAGCTACAGGTGGAAGCTAGGTTATCACCTCTGTGGTACCACAGTTAATTGAGGTATTGCTGAACCTAGCTAATTGTTAAGCTTCCACCACAATTTCAAGGGTGAATAACTCCAGGCGTGATTTAGCAGTTGAGGACACTTAGCTGGCAAAGACACTTAACTGTCCCCAGTTAACCAACAAGACATTTAGCTGACAGGAACACAACTTAATAACAGAATAAACAATATACCTCGAAATCTAGATAAAAAACTATGAATGATGATTAGCATAGTTATTCAATGCAGAATATATTGTTATATAAAAAACAAAGCGTGAGTTTTAACTTCATGACTATTCATCTGATATGTGGATATTCAAGGTTTTCATTTTTGGAAGGGGGAAAATGTTTGATGATATATTTATTGCACATACGCATGGAGAATATTTTCAAATATAATTAAATATATGGAAAAGGTTTGCTTCTAGTACTTTTTGTTTATTATTGGAAAAAAAAATTGGTTTGTTGATCTATATCATCCTACAGGAATTTGGTAAAGTGTAAAATACAGGGAGAGAAGCAATACAAAAACTCAATATTAACAGCTAGGTAATTAAAATTTAGCTGAATGTACTGTTCAAAAATAATTTTTATACACTCATTAATAATAATAGTAATTGGAAATTTACCTGAAAATAATCAATATATTGCAAGATGACTGACAATACCAAGTATTTTCCCTTGACTTTCCAGCTTAGAGTCATCACTTTATCCAGTAAAAATTGAATAATGTTAAACTTTTTAGTTTTTAAGATCTTACTTTCAGTTTTTGAGACAGATATGAGACTTTTATATATATCTTTAACAAATCCAGTTATTCCTTTTATTGGGCTTTCCCAGTTGGATTCTAATAATGATAGAATTTGCTCAACTAATAGTGTTTTAGAAGAAAAAAATACTTGAGATTTATTTCTACTTTCTTGGAAAACCAAGGCATTGTTGACAAGACATTTTTCACAAATCTTCATCCAATTAAGCAAAGCGCTAAAAGCATGAAACTGAGTACCCCCTGGATTAATACAACAAAGATAAATAGGTTTAAATAATACTATTAAAAATGGCAGTTGCTGCAAGGATTTTAGTTTGATGGAAAAAACTTCTAAGGTCTGGCAGGACAAAATGCCATGCAAAAGTGCAATTTGAGGGAAAACTGGAATTTTTTCACGAGCTGCACAGGGTTCAAATCCACTGAAATACTGGTATTCTGTAACTGTTAAATGCAAACTGCTGTTGAGTAATACATTTTTCACAGCTTCCTGAATTTCTTTTTCATCTTTATATTTACTTTCTTCACCTGAAAGAATAAAAAAAAAAATTTTTTTTTTTTTTACACTTCATAAATTTCAAATAAATAAAACAAATTACAGTAAAATATCTGGTAACGTGCGATCTAAAAAAAAAAAAAAAAAAAAGGGCACTTCTGAAGGTCTAAATTTATATCCAAAATTTAGGCCTATGAGATATAAAGATTATGTAGTGGGCAAACAATCTATTTCCATTGAAACAGTAAATTCAGGTTACAGGCTCCTAGGTCTAGGGTAATTTTAAAATGTTGTTTAATTATATTTTTTTAAATATAAAATCACTTATATTTTTTAATTTTAAATAATCTGTATAATTTCTGAAATTACTTAGTTAATTGTGAGTGAGAGACTGAAAAACCCAATAAACAAATTTCTCAAGAGGCAGTTTCATCAAATGGCACCACAAAACATCAACAGGTAAGTTCAAGAAATTTAATATTCTATTATCGAAAAAAAAAAAAAAACCCTTTTATCCATAATTGGCATGGTCCTTTGATGCCACTTAAGAGAGATTCTACTGTATTCTCTTTTTAATTAAGCATACTATGAACTAAATGTAAAATTAGGCTTAAACACTGCTAGAATTCTACCTGGGATTTATAATAAAATATATTAGAGGCTTTAACAAAATTAAATACACCAGTGCTTTTTCAAATCATGTTTATAATGCAAATATATTCTTTTAAAAATGTGTTTTCAAGTCATCTATTTTATAAATTTTTTATAAATTAAAAAAAGGCACATTCCCCCTCCCCTAAAGGGAATTGATTTTAATCAGCTTTGCAGTAATTTACAGTTACTTTCTTTGAAGACAGAATTAAGCTACAATATGCATCACTTGGTCTTCTTATAATTATTAGCAAAAGGACTAGTTAACAATTTAAACACAGGTTTTTGTGAAGCATTTATATGTTTTAAAAAGTATTAAAATTTTATGCTTAGTTTGACAGCACTTTTCTGTTTATGTCAATAATGATAACCTTATACAGGGTGCGGCAGTGTTCATAGCGTAATTTCACTTGAGTAGTACAATGATGTACTGCATGAATGCATGCCAGCTCGTGCCACATTTGTGTACTAATGAGCTACCATTTCGAGTGTGACAGTGATATGGATCGGTAAGTGCACAGCATCCTGCCTTTGGAGTTGTGTTGTGGAGAGGGGGCATCATATTCAAAAAGTAATCCCCGCAATATGGCATACCTTTTAACTATTAATTGAATAAGAGGTAATAAATAAATTACAGTTACTGCCTTATGGTGTGTTTTTAATATCCTACTATGAAAGCTGTCACACACTGTATGTATGTATCTATATATATGTAAGATAAAAAAATTATAATTTAAACTAATGGTAACCTTTTAATTATCCTTCTCTATTCTATTCTAAAAATTGTAATAACTTCTCTGGATTACGTCATTTCTAGATCAATCCATCTTGCATGGCCAGCTCAACGCTGATGATGTAACTCTGAGAACTGACTGCCATATTGGATAAATGCGCAGTTAGCTTCTTAACAGACTGCCATATTGGATAAATGCACAGTTAGCTTGCAGCATTGCTGCTGCTGCATTGATGTTGTTTCATTTTGCTGTGCATTGTCCTGCTGCTACTATGCCATTATTTAAAATATAATACTCAATATAAAATTGTGGTGTGCATATTGTGCTTATGATTATGTACAATAAAAAATATAGTTTTGATAATTATTTTGTGTCCAGCAATAAAGATTATGTTGAGTTCGGCTATGTCTGTCCACAAGTCTCTCCTTCAATTGTCATCTTTCTAATAATGCAGTAAAGTCTCTCAGCTTTACTACATTATTCATTAAGTTATAATGCAGAAAACCATTGTCAATCTGTTGCAGCTTACTTCAAGTTTTTATCACACATAATATAGATATATACAGTATCACAAAAATTTATTTTTAAAACAAAAATATCCCAATATTATTATTTCTGTGCAAAATGCTGCTAAAAATTTCATCAATTATAGACAAAAAAGTAAGAAATTTAAAACTCACATTCACAAAGATTCACGAAGACATAATAAAATAATTTCAAAATCAGTAAAACACCAAAATTTCCCCCAAAATATCAAATTGGTTTCAAATTAGTATAATTTCCAAAACAACAGAAAAATATAAAAATACAAAATTACAAACAGAGAAATTCAAGCAAAATCTGATTCAACAATACCAAGAAGAGGTAGATCAGATACAACTGAATCCCTCCTCCCAAGAAAAACTATTTCCTTTCTGTTCATCCAATACTAGCTGATGAACCATCTTAAACAATTTAATTATAATAGCTCAAATGAAAATTCTGAATGCCTCCCCGCCAAAATAGATTTCCAGTCATACAAAATAAAAATGTAGAAAAACAACTCCATATGAAATAAATACAACATCCAAAAAGGTAGAAAAATAGGCATATAAATTTCATCAAATTTCAATTAAAAATTCAAATTAGAATAAATTACTAAATATATAATAATAACTAATGGAGAGCCTTAATTTTGAACTCATCACGGTCAGAGACAAAAGACTGCATTCTAAAAAGCAAGCTTAGATGCTAAAGGTTGATAGTTTGGCACCAATGGCAAAATAAATTGGCGATGGAAGGTTTGAAATCTCTCTAATACAAGCTATCCTAGTTCACATAAATAAATAGGAAAATGCTGTCAAGCTAAGCATAAAATTTTAATGCTTATATGTATATATATATATTGGAAGATTTAGGAATTTTATTGGTTTTAAATTTCATTTCTCTCAGGTCTTTATGATTTTGGTTCTAAAGTTCTTACTATTTTCTTTATAATTGATAAATTCTTCAGCAGCATATTGTGAGGAAATAATTTTGGGATATTTTTGTTTTATACATACACACACACACAAATATATCATTATCAAAAAATTTTATGTTACATGTACTTTTAAGAGCCTTTCTTAAAAAGGGGTGTTCTTTTAATTAACTTTTCAGAAAAATGACCAAAAATTCTTTGAATAAGATCTAAATGTAGAATAAAATCTAAACCTTTAACTCAGATTAAAACAGAAAATTTTTTTAAAAATTCAGAAGATTTTGGCAACTTACATAGTGAATGATTGCAATGACACAGATTTTAATTTAAAAAGAGATTCAGAAGTATTTATTTCTGAGAAAAAAGTTGTGCAACTGAGAGATGTGTCGAAAGTTGAATCAAATATTGTAAAAATGTATTATTGTAGAAAAAATAATTTTTAAACGGGCTATACATGAGTCAACTTGTGCTTTTAGGATAGCAAAACGTCTGCGAAGCAGTTGCCAGATGTCTTTAAAACTAGCAAAAACTGTATCAAAATCTGAATCTGAAGAACTTCTTTTCAGCAGCTAATTTCACCTTATATGCGATAAGATCTACTGAAGTTACCTAGAGAATTAAGGCTAAATTAAAAGAATCCTTTCAAGAATTGCTCCTCCATGCTTGAAGCAGAATTTTAAAGACAGAAACGTTAAAATCATGGAAAAGTTGCAAAATATAACCTGCTAGCTAAAAAAAAAAAAAAAGAGAGAGAGAGATTTTACTCATAAAAAGCTTATCTGTCTGCAAAGTACAGTAAAAGAACGTATAGATTGCAGCATTCACTAATACGGAACGAATATGAGTCTTTATACAATTTTTATATATGCAGATATTTTTCAGTGTTTCACATTTTTCCATAGCTGGCACATTTTCTACTACTGAAACACCATAGTCAATGTTTTTATTTTATTCATACATTACTGCATGAAATGCAACCTGCTTATTTTTGCTTGAAAAGTAAAACCTTTTTATTAAAATTCTTAAACCACAAACATGTACAAAACTAATTTTTTTTACAATGGTTACAATTACAAAAACAGGCTTTAGTAATATTTCAATTTTATTACATTAAAATGAAAAAAAAAGGGGGGATGGACAGAATTGCTTAACAACAAAAGTACAGGATGCAGAAGAAAGAACTCCCCATTTCAGGAAACTAATAAAAGAAAAACCAAATAATATATATACAAATTTTACTTGGTACTTATGTAGTAATGCAACCACCTTGACACAATTTGGCAATTTTTTTTTTTTTTTTTTTTTTTTTTTTTTTTTTTTTTTGGATGAAAAGGTAAAAGTTACTTATTGAGTGCAACTTGGTGATTTTCAAGCCATTTTTTTAGAAAGATTCCCAAACTATCAATAGTAAGTCGGTACACATTATCAGTATACGAAAAGAAAACAGACTTTAGCAATTTAAAATACAAATTTGAATCATTAATATGGATTACATGATATATTAAAAAAATAAAACACATTCTTCTTCAAATCTTTCTGTAATTCTTTTGCATTATTCTTCTCCCAAACTACACAGCAGTCTGTTTTTGCTCAAAAAATAATAATAATACAGTCAAAAGTCGTTAATTCGGACACCCATAATACGGAACGATCTATAAACCGGACCTCAAAGCTAAAAACTTTCTGCGCATGCGCCGCGTTGACACATAGGCATAGGCGTTTACGCGTGCGCGTAAGACCTTTACGACTGCGCATATGCGTGTGCCCAAGCGCAGAATACGTTTTCGCGTGTGCGTTTTATGTATAATGAACGGTATAAGCTAAAATTATGTAATTATCTATTTCAGTTAATGTTGATGACTGCGTTGTTCCTTAATCTACGAATTGGATCTCCGACTTATTATTTTTTGCAGACTGTAAGAGCAATTTTATAAAAGTAAACTTGAACTTTCGATTATGTCAAATAGAATTTCCGATGCTGGAGCTCCCAAAGGATCTACAAAACGAAAGTATGTTTCGATGTCCATCAAACAAAAAGTGGAATTGCTGCAAAAAAATGGATAAAGACATGAAGAAGGTGACAGAGAGTTTAGTGAAAACGAAAAAATTTCGATTGACAAGTTAGTCGGTATTCTCGGCACAGCAATTATGGGACTTGAACAGCAGAACTTTGTAACTGAACAAGAAATTATGTTTGTTTATAGAATTAAAGAGAAAGTATTATCACATAAAACGAAGCAACTTAAACAACTTACATTGAAAGAAATGTTTAATAAAGTAAACAAATAAATATTAACCTTTTTTTTTTTTTTTTGGTAAAATTTGATACCCTTTAGATCATAATTGTTCTTTATTTTATAAATTACGGTTTCATATTTTTAATTTTAGAATTTCTGTATGCCATCTTACGAGATTTAAACTGATGATCTATAATCCGTAAAAATCGATATTCCGGAATCGCCGAAGTCCCGACGAGTCCGGATTAACGACTTTTGACTGTAATAATAATAATAAATAAATAAATTAATAAAAAATAGAGAATTGCACAGACTCCATGCTATTCTCAACAACAGCATCTGTCGAGGAAACGCATTTTCTTGTTATTTATTCCATTTAGAATATTTTCAGTAAAATTCTGTATTCCTGCATAAATTTTACTGCAGTTTCTTCCAGCAAAGAAACTCGCCACACTCAGCTCAAAAATCTCAATTTGTTTATAAAAACCAATGGAACTTGGAATACAAAAAAAAAAAAAAAAAAAAAAAAAAAAGGACAGCATTGCTTGACTGAAGGACTGTTACTAGGATGGTTGTCAGAAGAATGGTTATACACATGGCTGCCACTTCTACTAAGGTAGTTGTGTTAATATGCTATAAGGTATTTTCCCCCTCCTTCCAGTATGCCTTCTTGATGTAACAGTAGCACTCAGCATGTATTTGAGAGGTCCAGGTTAGAGTCCCAGCAAGGACATTGCATATTTTTCACATCTCTTGCTTCAAAAGAAAGAAGAAAAAAAAAAAAAAAAACTGACCAAGTCTCTTCTGGTAACTGACCAGGACCTTGAGAGTCATTTCAGCCGTAACAGCATCAATGTTTTGTTGTATTGCCTGTGTAGGTTCTGAAGTTGGAATAACCGAGCAATAGTTTCTTTTCTTTTTTTGTCAGAAACAGGATCCTGTTGATCGAGTGTGAAGCTAATGCAAAAGGCATGTTGCATTGCTGTTGGTGACCCTTCATTATAAATAAACTGTTTTACAACAAAAGCATAACGTTCTGTTGACCAAGTTGTGATCTACTCTGAAATGGCAAATAAGTCACAATTCAATGATATGCTGTACATGATTGTACCCTCTTCTTGTTTGTATCTATGATCCTCCCAAATTAGAAAGTTCTTTCTGCTACATTCTTTACAACCAGTTTTTAAAGCAGCAGTTAATGTCTATGTAAAAATGTAATATAATTTTATTAGTTAAGATTAAAGCAATATGACAAAGCTTCATTTATATAATATTTTGGAGAAATGACAGAATTTTAACTAATAAATTAGAGTTCAAATTAGAGCTAATTCTTTTTTAGTCAGTTCCAAATTCCTATCAGAAACAATACCCACATACTTGTCAAAAAATGAAAGCCAACATAATGTTTGCCAGTTACACTAACTGAATGTGAAGTATTCTATAAACATTAACATATCATATTAGTACTCATTCCTATTTGACTTTTCTATTCTTACAAAAATAAAGCATAAAAAGAAATAATAATTATGCAGTACCTGTCTTCTTTTCATCAACAAAACTGTATGACCAAATAAAAAAAGACGATGCAAATTCTGGAGTAAACAAAACAGTGACCAGCAGAATGAGACAAGTACTACTTAACAGCTGTAAGTCTGATGTCATATTCTACAGAATAAATAAACAGAAAAAATATTTAAAAACATTAGAATACTTTTTAACTAAAAAATAAGCATGGTTTACTATAACATTATTTATAAATAATATGACATAAATAAATAATATTTTAAAAATTAGATATGAAATATATTTCTCTGAATTTTAAATAACTGAGTAATTTTAAAAAACTTTTTCCTGAAAAAAATAAAAGTTAATGAACAGAAACTTTTAACAATAGATATAATAAAAAACATGCTTACATTATTGGAGATAACAGAAAATAGAAAACTAGTCACAGAAAGAAATACATTGAGCTGTTCTACTTCTAACAATCCAGGATCAGCAACTTTAACAGGACATGTGCGGATAATTTTATATAATTCCTAAAATATTAGGGGAAGAAAAATATGTCTCATTTTTCTGAAAATGTCAGTTAAAAATGTACAAGGAGGAAAAATATTTCATACTTGATTTTAGATTATTTATCTTATACAGACAGCAATTTTAAAACTATATACTTTAAATGCAATTACTAATGAAAATATTTAATTTAAATTTGATATTAGAATAAAATACACAGTATAGAGGTGCCTTGAATAATGAATGAAATCTGAATCCAGCATGATGTTCATTATGCAAAATTATGTTTTGCATAAGTTACTATGAAAATATTCTAATCCACTATCAAGCCTAGGAAAATTAATGAAACACTGTCAGAAAAATGTGAAATATCATCAGTGTTGGAAATACTAATAATTACAGTTTAACTAATAAACTAAAATTTACTTGCTATAAAAATATTGCATATATAGTCTCATAGTTTTTTCTAATTCAATTTATACAATGTTTTTCCAGTCAGATTAAAAACTCAGCTGTCCCTGCCCTTTTTTTTTTTTTTTTTTTTTTTAAGAGGTTCAGGTTTCCTAAAAGAGTTCCTTAAGAAAGTTGCCTAAAGGAGTCCTTCAATATCTTTCTTTTATTCTGAAATTTTTTATTAATTAATTTATTAATTAATTAAATTTTGAATTAGGTTTAGTATATTAACAAAATTTTCTTTGGTTTCAGAATAACTCTGAACTAATGTATGACATTGTCACTTTGTTCTGTTCAGCCTGCCTGAGCTGCCACAACTTGACTGCGGCCTAAATCCTTTTCCACTTCTTCAGAAGTTTTTCACAGTTGCAATAGATATGCACATTCTCTTCACATAAATAATTGAAATAAGCTTTCTTTTCTATGTTCTCTTCTCATTGGAATAAACTTTCTTTTGTACTTCTTCATATTTCTGCTCAAGAAATACTTGCAGTTTTTCAAGGGTAATATTATATTAAGAAATACATCTACTTGCATTTGTTCCCTTCATTTCTGTACAGTTATCTTTGTTTATGTATAGACATATTTTGTGCATTTTTGCATCACCTAATTGAACACAGATCAAATTATTTGTGTGTTTAATATTTTAACAATGTGTCACAATATCTGTGAATGTGGATTGGATTGGATTATTAAATTATAGCAAAGCACATGAGGGCTATCTGCCTAAAGGGAGGGATGCCTTCGTGGAGGACTTTCTAAGAAAAACTGGCTCGTATACGTGTTACACATGGGGAAATCCACGAAAACGCCCATGCAGCCAGCCCGTTCGCGGGATTTGAACCTCGGACCGAACTACCAGTGTTCAGCGTCTTTACCGCTCAGCCGCTGGTGGGCCCTGAATTTTATGTTATTCAGGATTGCTTTCCTAAAACACCACAGGAAGATTTTTTTTTTTACATCAAAATATATATATTACAGTAAAGGCTTTTGCTCGTTTTGGTATGTGCATGGGTACTCCGGTTTTATTACTTTGTTGAGAATTCTATGGCTCATTACGCTGTGAATGTGAGACAAGATTCATTATAGAGGGCAGTTTTTATTATGCATATGGATTTATTACATGGAATGCTCATTGTTTGAAATTTTCATTTAACAAGTTTGGATATGGGGTTTAATAGATTGTGACAACCCCATCAAGGTTATCTACCTAAGAGAGAGATGCCTTTGTGAGGACCATTTTAAGGGAACTGACTTATATTCATGTTAAACATGGGAAAAACTTCAAAAATACCTATGTAGCCAGCCTGTTCATTGGGATTTGAACCTCAGTCAAACTTTCAGCATTCAGCACTTTTATTTGCTCAGCTATTTCTATTTGTCAGCATATTTATTATGTTAGGCAACACTGCATATGCAAGCTTCTAACAGGGTGCATACACATATATTATAATCATATTAATAAAATGAAATAATTAAAAAAGTGTGATGCAACAGCATTTATAATGATATGATATTATATGCTTACACTTCATCTTTCAAATTTAAATATATTATATTCCCAACCAAACATATTTTGTTATATAACAGTTATATTCCCCATTATATTCCCAATTATATGAGACAACTTTTAATACATTTAAGGAAGTGGTCAAATTTTATTTTTTAATAATTATACGTACATTCTGCAATTACACTCCCCCCCCCCAAAAAAGGAAAGTGTTTTTTTTAATTAATTTTTGCTAAAATATACATTATTTATCTTTGTAAATAATTTGTTAAAGTCTATAATTATATTCTAAAGTCTTAAAAGATTTTAATTTGTTAAATTTCATTTATCAAATTTGAATTTAATTTTTTGCCCAATTTATTAAAAGTTATTTCATCAAGATTTTTCATGAGTATTAATTATTATAAAAAAATAAAATCCAAAAGCATTTAATCTCTTACCATGCTGTAAAATGCAATGTATTGGGATAAGCTCATTTTTTCATATATCCTAAAATTCTATTTTAAAACATGAAAATACTCTAATTGCTAACCATATTATAATTTTGAACTTACTGATTGTACTGAGGTCACAGTATAATCATAAAAATTTTATTGTGCAAAATAAATTAAACTGAATAATATTTTTAAAATGCCTTCTATATTCAATTTAGACTAAACCATACGGGGGGGGGGAAGAAGCACAATGGCAAACCACAAGAAAAGGGACAAAACATGCTTGTTTCTGAACTAACAAAGGTCTTAACAAGCTAATTTATTCACTTCTTTCATTGCACCAACCCCCTGATGACAATGTGGCAAAAGATGTAAATTTCTCTTTTCATCATTTGTTTAGCATGTTCTTTTCCTTTTCTTGCAGTTTGCCACTGTGCTTCTAGTTTCTGAATGTGGTTTATTCTGAATTGAGTTTGGTTTTTCCGAATTGATTCTGAATTTTAAACATTTTATTTTGCATTATTGACACTACTTGTTGCTGCTCTCAGCACACAACTGGATAAGGTTTTGAACTGCTTTTTTACTTTGTATTTACTAAAAGTATATATACGTATTTACTTATTACATAGATTTGTTTTCAGACAAGGCAGAAATAAAATAAATTTCAATATCATACAAACCTTCAATTCAACGTGAACATCCCTAACTGAGGTCTTGCTGTGCATTCTAAGAACTATTTTAGATAACTCTTCAAAATATTGTGAAATGGCATCTGTCATCTTTAGTTTACATTCACTATAAACATAAATAGTAATGACTAAGGCGAAAAAAAGAGATAAAATTGAGAAAATGGACAAGTAGCAAAATGAAATTAAAACAATTTATGAAAAAAAAAAAAAAAAAAAAAAGCAAAATGGTGCTTTTTTAAGGCATTGTATCTGATGCCATTCATACATAGACAATACTAAGTTTGCTCCCAATATTTTATATAATTTATTTAAAAAATTACAGTAAAACTAGTTTGCCAATATGCATATTTTAATTTTTTAATAATGTTATAAAAAGACGTTTTTCACTTATTTCTTAATAAATAGAAAGCTAAACAAAAAATCATCAGATTATAGTGAAAGTTTTGTACATCACAACAAACTCTATATGTAAATACAACCTAAGATTTAATCTCAACTTAAAAAAAGATAAGAGTTTATCTGATTAATTTTATATTTATACACACTCAAAATTTTTTTCTAATAAAGCAAATGCTAGGAGAGCCCATACCCTTGGCAACAAATTGGGAAAGTGCACACTGCTTGGAGCGTTTCTCAAAATCGCCAACTTCAAAATAACAAGTCAAACAATTGCACAAACTTGGTATCCATGTACACATTGACCTATTTTCAATTTAAAAAAAAAATTGAGAATTGCACAATCTCTCGACTTTGTCCACGTACACATCGATATCCGCCATCACCAAAATCATTTGTGCTAAGGGTGTGGGCTCTTCTAGGATCCAACTGAGCACATCTTTAGAATTTCTGATACACAGTCTCATGCAGTGGAGATACAAATGTTTTTTCTGTACAACATTGCCATTGCTCTCTTTGAAATCCTTGAGTTTGTTAATAAAAAATTTGTTAAAGTTTTACAAGATATGAAATCGATAACAAAACAAATTCCAAATTTGACCTTCCAAATGCCAATATTTGCAGTAGGATTACCTCATTCAAAATTTGATGGCTTTAGGTACCGTTGTTTTATCACAATGCGAAAAACATACATACATTTATGCAGATTTTTCATTATTTAATTTCTTCAAATATAATATAGGGCGATAATATTTGGTGGCAACAGTTTGAAAAGTGAAATGGGCATTCGGAGTGATTCTACGCAAATTGCAAAACGAAAACCATAGTCCCTCGCAAACAAAGCCCATTTGGACTAATAATTAAATTTAAATTAAGAGAAATGTAAAGAGATAAAGAGAAATCTTAAAAATTATTAAATTAATTTTAAGTAGTTAAAAAGAAAGGGAAAAAATTATCGGACTTTGTCTTATTTGGGGCATTGGCTGGAATTACAATTCCACTTAAGAGCTGAGAAACAGCTCGGCCGATCTCAGTTTAACCTGTTCGCGACGGGCACTTCTGTTACCGAAGCTCTCTCTTCGGATGGTGTGTTAACCGGATGCGTTGTCCTGTGGGATCGGGCAATTTACTTTAAAAAAAATTCGTATAAATGAAATTTGTCATCCAATTTTTCCAATTTTGGGTACATTATGAGAAGAACATTCGGGTAGTCGTCAGAATAAATTTTAAGCCTTTATTATTATATTTTCCTTAAAAATTATATAAAATACTCATTCTAGAATAATATAATCTTCTCCTTATCCTACAAATAAATATATATGGAAAAATATCCAAACAATCGCAGATTTATTTAACACAACACACAATTAAAATAAAAAATATTAAAACTGTCTTTCATAAAAATTCAATGAGCAAGCAATGAAAAGTAAGCAATGTTTCAAAATGAGACAGTGTATGACATTCTTTGAAACATGGGTGTACACAAAGTTGAATATTGCATTAGTCACAGAAATATAATATCTGCTGCTATTTTACTCAGCAAATTTGACTCATTTAGCATTTGTACAGTCAAAAGTCGTTAATTCGGACCTCAAAGCTACAAACTTTCTGCGCATGCGTCGCATTCACGCATGCGCGTAAGACCTTTACGGTTGCGAATATGCGTGTGCACATGCGCAAAATACGTTTATGAATGCGCGTTTAATGTATAACGGACGGTATAAGCTAAGCTAAAATTATCTAATTCAGTTAATGTTGCAGATTGCGTTGTTCCTTAATCTTCAAATTGGATCCGGCTTATTATTTTTTGCAGACTGTTAGAGCAATGTTATAAAAGTAAGCTTGAACTTTTAATTATGTCAAATAGAATTTCTGATATATATTTACTAATATGTAAAGGATCTACAAAGCGAAAGTATGTTTCGAAGTCCATTAAACAAAAAGTGGATTGCTGCAAAAAATGGATAAAGGCATATCCTTTGTTTCTCTAACCATTACGAAATCTGTTTTTCAATTTCACGCTGCTCTGCTGGGGGGGGCAATGAATTGGAAGTTGATCTGTCAGCACTATCCTTATCTTCAGGGCAGATGTTTTTATTTTATTTGGCTTATAATTCCTTACTAAATGAAGTATTTCATCTCGATGTACTCCGTCTTTGATATGATTTAAATCAAATTCCTCGTCATTAGTTTAATAAACGAATAAATATTAAGTTTTTTTTTGTAAATTTTGATACCCTTTAGATCATAATTACGAGCCGAGAACCGGCATCTATCAACAAAAACTTCTTTAATTACACGAAAATATTTCTATCTATTCGTTGTTAAAAAATTCAGAAAAAATAACGTGAAAAATCAGAAAAAATAATAATAAATAAGAGAAGAATACTATAAATCTCGAAATGTGAAGAACGACAATGATTCAACAAAATGAACGCAAGAGGAATGGTTGCAACCTTCGAACAAGCGAATAGGAAGAATCTGCTAGGTTACCAGGTTCGAACAATTATTGCCAAAGTTGGCGATGTTTCATTTACCAGGTTCTCTGCAGAAGTGCTTCACACATTGCTATTTTTGTGCAATTCTGGGATTTTTTTATTAATCTTCGGATTATGGTAACTTGGCGATTTTGGGGCGAAAATTTGGTGACCAACACTGCTACAGAAACCTGCTAGTTCTTTTTTGGACGCCATTTTGTTTTCACGAAGTAAAGGCCTGTTTTTTTTTTTTTTTTTTTTTTTTTTAACTAAACATTTTTTTTCCAACAACCTGCTAGCTGAATTAGCTTATGCTAGAACTTTTATGGAACAAAAGTGCTTAATCATGACGAAGATTAGGCGCCAAATTGAGAGAAAGTGCAGAATTGCCCACTGCTTACCGCATTTTTAAGAATTCCACATACACGGTATCCATGTACACGTCAATCTATTTTCACTTGAAAAAAAATCCCAGAATTGCACAAAAATGGCATTGCGCATGCTCTTGACTTTATCCATGTACACTGCTAAAGTCCTAGCTAGTAACCTTTATCGCTTTACCAAAATGTTGCCAAATTACCTGTTACCATATTCCAAAGATTAGCCAATTTTTTTTTAAAGTGAAAATAGGTCGATGTGTACATCGATAACGAGTATGTGCAGTTCCTAAAAATGAGCCAAACAGTGGGTGATTTTGCACTTCCCCCTTTTTCGTTGTTTTACTTGAAGTCCTGTTTTAGATATTTTGGTACTTACGTATTAACGCAACCAGGCCAAAATTCGCATAAATTGCCAAATTTGGCGACCCTACTTACGGCACCCCTACGTGTTTAGACGAAAGTTTATTTGTAAAAAGAAAAAATAACACTGGGCGTGTACTACCACAGCAATGTGTTTTCCGCGGAATTTGCCGAGAAAAGAAAGAGACTTTTTTGGTTACTGTACCTAACAGAAGCGCCGTTACCCTCATGGAAAAAATTTGCGAAAATATCAAGGAAGGAAGCATCATTTATTCGGATTGCTGGAAAGGATACAATACAAAAGAGTTTGAAAATGCTGGATTTCTGCATGGAACTGTTAATCACAAATATAACTTTGTGGATCCCAACACGGGCGTTCACATACAACATGTAGAGCGCATGTGGGGCTCAGCCAAATGGAACAACAAAAAACAGAGAGGAACAGCCCATCATCATCTTGACTCATACTTTATCGAATATATATGGCACCAAGCTCAAGCTGTTAATGGCGAAGACGGTTTTCAATCAGTGCTAAAACCAATAGCCAAAAGATTTTTGCCGAAAAAATAATTCTGCAATTTATTCAAATTCGAAACCGGAAGGGTTTAATTGCTATTTCGGTTGATCTTTACAATATGGTAACTGGTAGTTTGGCAACATTTTGGAGGCGATAAAGGTTACTACCTGGGACTTTGGTAATAATGTGAGCAGTACTCAGTTCTGATTATGCATTATTTTGCGTGAGGGAAATGAGAGATTCGCCAAAAAATCGCCAAGTTACCATAATGTAAAGATCAACCGCTATTTTATATTTTAAAACAAAATAATATAAAAAACTGTATTAAAAATTATCAGTAATTAATAAATGTACATTTTCTTTCTATTCATACTTTTTTACTCAAACTTACAAATCGCGTCAACCTAGTTGCGATAATACGTAAGTACCGATATTTTTGCATGTTTACAGGATCGGGTTTTCATCCACAGAGAACCTGTTGGCGCCGTTGCATTTTTACTCGCCAAGTTCGCCTTTCATTGACGATGAGCAGAGCCATAAACGTGATATTTTGTAAACGTGATTTTTAGGGCATGTAAAGTCAAATTAGCAGACAAAACAATATATTAAGCATATGTAGTAAAAATTCACAGATAACAAGCATGTAGATGTAAAACTAACCAGTTAAACGTGATATACGAAAATAAATTTGTATTTAATTCAAGTTAGCACAGAAAAGAATATATTCAACATAAGACAATATTATTTAAATAAAATTCATTTAAAATATAATTAGTATTATAATACTGGAACCGGTTAAGCATGATATATGAAAAAAATTTGTCTATAATTCCAGTTAACACAAAACAATATATTCCTTACTTACACCAGCAGTGGTTTCCGCTAATTTTGATGATATGCATCTATTTAATGTCACTGCGATAATCAATATTTTTTTTTTCTTTTTATCATCTATTTATTCACACCTGCCATCCTCTGAAAGATTACGGTTAGAAAAAAACGGTTTCGTGCCCCGTTTTACAGTTATGGTGCGCACACAGACGTTTTCGCATGCACGTTTTATGTATAACGGACAGTATAAGCTAAAATTATCTAATTATCTATTTCAGTTAATGTTGATGATTGCGTTGTTCCTTAATTTTCGAATTGGATTCAGCTTATTATTTTTTGCAGACTGTAAGTGCAATTCTATAAAAGTAAACTTAAACTTTCGATTATGCCAAATAGAATTTCCGATTCTTTAGCTCATAAAAGATCGTACAAAACGAAAGTATGTTTCGATGTCCATCAAACAAAAAGTGAAATTGCTGCATAAAATGGATAAAGACATGAAGAATGTGACAGAGAGGTTAGTGAAAATGAAAAATTTCGATTGACAAGTTAGTCGGTATTCTCGGCACAGCATTAACGGACTTGAACAGCATAACTTTGTAACTGATCAAGAAATTATGTCTGTTTATAGAATTAAAGAGAAAGTATTATCACATAAAAACGAAGCAACTTAAACAACTTACATTGAAATAAATGTTTAATAAAGTAAATAAATAAATATTAAGCTTTATTTTTTTTTTGGTAAATTTTGATACCCTTTAGCTCATAAATGTTCTTTATTTCATAAATTACGGTTTCATATTTTTAATTTTAGAATTTCTGCATGCCATCTTACGAGATTTAAACTGATCATGTATAATCCGGAATCGCCAAAGCCCCGACGAGTCCGGATTAACGACTTTTGACTGTATCTACAAAAATATTTCTATCTATTCGTTGTTAAAAAATTCAGAAAAAAAATAATAAATAAGAGAAGAAGAATATAAATCTGTAAATGCGAACATCGACAGTAATAATTCAACAAAATGAACGCATGAGGAATGCTTGCAAACTTCGAACAAGAGAATAGGATAAATCCGATGGGTTACCAGGTTTGAACTATTATTGCCAAAGTTAGCGATATTTACATTTACTGGGTTCTCCGCGGAAGTGCTTCCACATGATCTATTTTTTTTGCATGTTCACAGAATTAATTCAAATTCGCAACCATCTAATATGGCGATATTATGAGTTGGCGATTTTCTAAAACGCGCGAAAACAACCGATTTGGCGACTTGGCAATTTTTTTAATATGCTCCAAACTGGACGGTAATATCCAGTTTTACTGCCTTTGGCATATGATTGGTGAGCTTTTCTTTCCTCAAAAGTCTAAACCTCCGTGCAAGGCTTGAGTGCGAGGGAAGGACAGGCCTGCATTCAGAAGTTAGAATTGATTTTTAAGGCATAGTTACTATGAAAACAAAATTTACTTGCTAAAATTGTGGTTCACTTTCATAAAACGGACGGAGCCTTTTTACTTAGAGCTTCGGCGCACTCTGTCTGAAATTATAACTTATCTCGAAAACTGAGAAGTACGGGAGCCGGGCACCGGTGCAATTTGAGCTCTGGAACAAACACAGCATATACAACTGATTCAACTTATTATTGAAATTATAAAGTTGATTGAAATTATAAATGATAACGAATGATATTTGAAATCTTTTATACTCGAATTACCATTTTAAGTTTTTCTAGCACAGAACACATACACAAAAATGATTTTGTTATGCACCTACTAAGTCTTTCTGCCCGCAAGTCGGAAAATTAAGCTTGGTGAGATGGAAAGGATGGAACTTAACCTTGGTGGGATGGAAAACTTTAGAAGATAGATATTCTTCCTGTAAAGTAGAGCTACTAGAAATAATGTAATCCCGTCCTTACTGTAAAGGGGGCTCTAGTCAAAAACGTGACGACATAACTTACCATGCCCACCAGCGGCCGAGCGGTAAAGTCGCTGAACACTGGTAGTTAGGTCCGAGGCTCGAATCCCGCGAACGGGCTGGCTGCATGGGAATTTTCGTGGTTTTCCCCATGTGTAACGTTTCTCCATGTGTATACGAGCCAGTTTCCCTTAGAAAGTCCTCCACGAAGGCATCCCTCCCCTTAGGCAGATAGCCCTCGAGGCTTTGCCGTAATCGCACACACACACACACAACTTACCATAGTTCAACTTCTTTGATTCACTAAGCCTGCAGAACTTTTATTTTACTGTCTGTTGTCAATGGATGAAACATCTGCTTGGCTGTCATATTTGGAATGGCGAGTTATCGCCTTGTAGGTTTGGTAATTAATGACAAGCAAACCACGTGGGCTTTCAGTAAAGCGAGGAAAAACAGCGTTTATTTCATTCGATATTTTTTTATTTTATGAATGAAAGCTAAGGGGAACTGTGGGGAATATATTTTTAATATCCTACAGATCTTACTAATAGTTTACTTGTATTTGGTTAAAGAATCCATTTTAACTATTAAAAGTACGATAATTGTTTTGGAAGAAAAATTATTTACATGGGAATGTACTTTTTCGTCATTTCTCTTAGAAAGAGTCTGTTGTGTGTAAATTTCCATTGCGCATCAATTTATACAAATAAAGCAATATTAAAGAAATGAACCAAACGAAAACATTCAGCAAACATTTAAGGGCGTCGTATACATATTCTTTTTTCTTAAATTGTGAGTAAGTATAACTAAAATTATATTTTATTCCACTATTCTCTATTTCTATTGTAACGCTTTTCGGGATCTTGGATCGTAATCTGGTGCCTACTACAAAGGGTACAAATTAGTAAATTTAAAAAAAAAATTTATATTTGAAATATCCGAAAAATTTCCGATACCATATTTTAATGGAAATGTCCATTTGACCGTTCCGGACTCCATTTCGATGACTTTTTTTTTTTTTTTTTTTTTTTGAGTGATGTCTACAGGACTCTTATGAAACGGAGTGTAAAATGGATTCAAAAAGAATTTTTCGTGACATCTGTTGGCTTTAATTTCGTAATCTTTGGCGTAGTCATATAGTTCCAACAACAAAAGTGTACTAAATACCGAAACTATGCACGTTTTGGCGATGTCAAATTTTAAACAATTAATTTTCGACAAGAACGCAATGAAATATATAATAACAGAACTAATAAATATATAATAACAGTTTATATAAGGCAACGGTTGTCGCCGGTTATGTGCCTCCATAATAAAAATAACACGCTTTCGACCTTAGTAATAGCCGTAGCCTACCATAATATGTATAAATATATATAGGGTGTATAACAATATTTAATATCAGTTTATTGTCGTTCTAAAAATATTTAATAAGCGGCATAAGGAAGAAATATGCTGTCCACATCATTTTTTTTTTTTTCCTTGGCTTTCATTTAGAGCTCACTAGGTCTATAGAAGGTAGCTTTGAAGGCTCACTGGTTAAAGGATGGGGAGGAGAACTGGGTAAACCGATAGGAGGGGGAAACAGAATGATTAAGAAAAAGGATGATTAATGATGAGAGATGAGAGAGGGGAGAAAAGAAGGTATTATAATTAGGAAGAAAGTGAAGATTTTTGTTATTCAAGGGGCTGATAAAATTACATGATGTATTTAAATACTTGATAAAATTGCATGATGTATTGTCTGTTTTAGTTGCAAATGGAATGAGGGAAACCAGGCTTAAAAACTGTTTTTTGGTTCTGTTTAAGGGGTTTCCTTTATAATTGCTAAAAAAGGAGATGGATGAAGTTAAAGAAGGAATAAACCTACAACGAGGTTAAAGGAGGGATAAAAATTTTAATTGAGAAGAAATAGTCAGAAGTTCTTTCATATGGGCTGGAAGAATAAAAGTGATGGGCATGGAAGGCTATGTACACGTGAAAAGTGGCTGAGTAAAACGGGAATGAGGTACCAGTGTAATGTGCGAACTAATATGCGAGTAGTAATGTGAGAACTAATATGGTATTAGATGTGTGTCGGTAAGTAAGGAGAAGACACAAGATAAAACAGAGCAATCGCTCTTAACCAACAACACTTGCCTTAGTGCCCCATTTGTAATTCTCCTGTATTCTCCTGTATCCTCCACGAGATCCCATTTGAGTCAAAGGAGTGCCACTAGGAACCTTTCCAGCATTGCTTAGCATTTGTCGGTCAGCAAGGAGGTTAGAATCACCTCCTTGTTTGTCAGAGTGAGAAAAGGAAGGATAACAGTAAAAATGCGAGTGATCGGGTTAAAAATATAGGGACCATAGTTAAGTTTGAGAAACATAAATCTTGCTATGTGTTTAAGATAGAAATAAGTAAAGAAATATAAGTAGGAAACAGTAGAAATGTAGAATAGTAGAATTGTGTAAACTTAAATGCTAATTAAAATTTTGAACTTAATAAGTTTGTTGAGGCATAATGACGCTGTCTTTCAGCATAATTTTAATATGTATTATATTTTTCAAAGGGAAATAATTTCATATTGCAGTTTAACTTTCTACATTCATATTAACATTTACTAAAATATTAGATTGTTTTCAAATGGAATTCAACAAGTGTTTTTTCAATAATTTAAAGACCTCCTAATGCACATATGAAATAGATGCTGAAATAAAAAGCATTTTTTAAAGTTTGTTCTATTTTTCGTAACTGCACAGATTTTCTTAAAACTATACGTTACTTGACTAGTAATTTTTACAATTAGAATGAAGACGGACGCTACTGTAAAATAACTGAATTTTTGTCAAATCATTTTGAATAGAGACAGAATATGCAAGATGATTTCAATCTGCTTGCAGCAGCTACTGTTTTAATAAGTATGAAATAAACATAACAAAACTAAAATATTACCTAAAGTTAACTGCTGACCTTGAGTTCCTGCGAATAAATGTACACAACACCATGAGAAGTGGGAATACAATGTGATGTTTTCGGGGGAGTGTCGATGTTGTAATATTAAAATTTTGCATGACGTTTGAACGATGTTTAGTAAGAAACCTCATTCAGATGTCAAAAAATCGTCTCAAAAAGTTTTAGATGCTAAAAAGGATTGTCTGAGCCGCTTGAAACATTTACGGATTGTACTCGGTAAGTATAAAAAATGTAGGAGTTTATATATAAAGTTTAAATCTTTTTAATTGATTTTATATTGCTCTTTAGTTACGTATTCTGAGATTTAGTTTGTGTTTTCGCTTGCTGTTATGAGATCATGAACCCTCAAATTAAAATCTTAAAATTTCACCGGAAAAATTATCTTTTAATTCTCTGTTTAAAGTGACGTACGAAAAAATAATCAGCTAATAATGATTATTTAAGCATTGAACTGCATTATCGATGGTTGATAGTAGTATTTCTGAATTATATTCTATGATTTCAGCTACTGAGAAAATGATTTATACGTATTTTAATAACTTTAATAATTTTTTTTAATCATGCATAGCGAACTAATTAAATCAAGTATAATGCATTTTCTTTTTGTTAAAGAGTACTTATGAAGTATATATTTCTTTTCGCAGAAAATTCGGATACAAGTGAAGCTAAATCGTTCTTTGAAAGTAATTACAGTCATATTTATTACATTTTCTATGATGTCTTCATATGTGCTGAAAACAATCTTAAGCAGAGAGGTAAGATACTATAACACTATTTCTTAATAATATAATTGGTAAAAAAATTATCCAGATTTCAAGTTTGAGTTGAATTTTTAATTGTACTCTGTGCAATTAAATTTACCAGGCTGAAATGCAAATGAAAGATAGTATCAACTGAGCTCAAGAATCCCGTTGCATGAAGTCTGCAGTTGTAATTCCAAATTATGGTTTTGATATCCTAGAATTATTGATGTTTAGAAGTTTGATAAATTATTTCTGTTTACCTATTAAGATTTTTTGAGTATGAAACTATCTCTCCACACTTAACTGTGGAAGTAAACTACTTCTTTAAAATGAAATATCGTGTATTTAAACAAATGTATGTTCATTTAAATGAATGCTTTGGAAAATGAAATCTTAAATCATGAAATTTGTGCTTGGTGTTTTTCTTGCTGTATTTTTGGGCTGAGATTCATGGAATGAAGTGGCATTAAACTAAATCAATAATTGCTTTAAAAAAAAAAAAAAATGTTGCAAGTTGTAATCAATGATGTTTGATCTACTATATGTCATATAAAACATTGAGGAATTTTAGTGATAGTGAAATTTCAGGCCTTTTTGTGTTTCTGCATGGTTTTATTATGACTATCTTGTATACAATCGATAGCAACATAATATAGCATTAGTACTTACATATTATTCCATAGACCAGACATGGCGAAACTGTGGCTCTTTGAAACCACAACTGCGGCTCACAAGCTACCTGCGATCCTTTGCCATCTGAAATGTTACTTGTTTTGAATAAATATAGTTTATTTTTTTAATACAAATGAAATTTGAAATACAAATCATACAATGCCATGTTTCTTTATTAATTGCTATTTTCATTTCTGATATTATATAAGTAAAAATTTGATAGATTTTAAACTGTCCATTGCTGGCTTATTGTCAGAGCAACAAAATTGTAAAATTACAACTAATTCCGTTTCTGGTAATTGCTATTCTGGTTATGTTACTTTTTGAACAGCTAATGATCATCAGAATACATTAATATGAAGTTAGTCTAACACGTAATGCTAATATTTTTATTTAATTACTCTTCTTAATATTTTTTTTTTCTCAAGTTCTACTTTTATTCAGTCCTTGAATGGCATGAGTAACTGCTGAAGAAACTTTCTGTCCGGCATATTTAAAAATTTTCAACCTTTAGTACTGCTGCTTTGCAGCTTCACCAGTTGCTCTGGCTCTGATGCCAAACATTAGTCTGCCCTACATGTCAGCTTATGAAAGCTTAGTAGGCAAACGAAAAGTTGTACAATGATCCACTGTTTGATCACTACAAATTTCAGACAATAATGTGAAAATTTGCTCCCGTAAACATTTATTTTTAAAGTCTGATCTTTTATTTTCTAAAGTATCCTCTACTTACACATTCCAATACAATTTATTTCTATATTTGAGATTTATTTTATGTACACAGGATAGGTAATTAATGGAAAGTTGTACTAACTAGGTAAACCTAGGCTGACAGTAATTTATTTTAATCTTTCTAAGTTACTATTCTTAGAAGTTCACGATGAGATGGTAAGTCATGTGATCGCCTGTATGGGTCCAATAGTTAAAATATGATGGATTTGTACACCTGTTTAGGGACTAAACTATTGTGCAGATGTCTCCTATGTTACAAAAGGCCTACACATCGAACATCTGTGCATGTCCATTGAAACATGCAGAGTTATGCGTTCATGTTATATCTGCATTTACGAAATAATTTCATTATAGTAGTGATAGGTATGTTGGTTGATCTTTGGATTATGGTAACTTGGCGATTTTTTGGCGAAAATTTGGCAACCAACTCTGCTACAGCAAACCTCTATTTTTTTTTTTTTTTTGCCGCCATTTTGTCTTCACGAAGTAAAGACATGTTTCTTTTCTTTTTATTTACTGAACACTTTTTCCAACAAATTACTAGCCGAATTACACTTATGCTAGAAATTTTATGTAACAAAACTGCTTAATCATGACAAATATTAACTGCAAAATTGGGAAAAAGTGCACAATCGCAAACTCCCTGCGTGTTTTTCAGAATAGCACATACACATAAACCATTTACACGTTGACTTATTTTACTTAAAAAACATCCCAGAATTGCACCAAAAATGGCATTGCACACACTCTTAACTTTATCCATCTACACTGCTATTTTCTCATAAATTACAAAAATTTGCACGAAAATGAAAAAAAATTCTGTGAATCTTTAAACTGGGTAAAAAGCACATATATGAAATTACCTGATTGCGAAAAAGTAATACCCTTTCCAAGGATGAACATTTCCACGTATAAAATAAATAAAATATCCAAAAACTTTTACCTCTAAATTATCTATTATATTATAAACGTCACCGACGAATTCATACCGCAAACATTACAAATGGTTACAAATACTTAGTGTCAAATATTTAAATTATTTCCATGCACGTTTACTTCAACTGAGACGTATACCAAATTGCTACAAACATAAAATTCACAAAATAACTATCATTTAATTAAAATATCACTAAACCATGTACACGTCGACTTATTTTTACTTAAAAAAACATCCCAGAATTGCAAAAAATGGCATTGCGCACACTCTTCGCTATATCCATGTACACTGCTTTTTTCTCATAAATTAGAAAAATTTCACGAAAATGCATGAAAATACTCAACGTATTCTACTGAAATGTATTCGAAAATACTACAAACATATAACTCACAAAATCATGAGCATTAAATTAAAATATAATTAAATTAAAAAACACTACTTAAAATATAAATAAGCACATACATTAAAATTAAAAAATTAGATTACCATCCTAATTACTTTAAACTAAATCATTGCTAATAACAATTTTCCAATAATACCATATTAATTTATTTACTCCTTACATTTAGAACAGTGCATAAAAATAATATCCTCAAATGATTAAAAAATGCTAACTTACCTAATCTTCAGAATCTTCATTACATGGCACGCACACTTCTACTATTTCACACAACACACAATGAAGCTTAATACAAAATAAATATAGTACTACAGTTTTCCAAATTCTCTCCCTTTTCTGATTAAAGAACTGTAATTCGTCCATTAATGCCACATGACATATCTCATGATCTCTCATTTCCCTCACACAAAATAATGCGTAATCGGAACTGAGTACTTCTCACATTATTACCAAAGTCCTAGGTAGTAACCTTTATCGCCTCCAAAATGTCGCCAAACTACCAGTTACCATATTCCAAAGATCAGCCGGTATGTTTTCTTTCAGTAACATTAAGTTTGATCTGCCATGTATATGAAAGAGAGCTCAAAATTAAACAGCTAGGTTGAAGAGTTCGGCATGGTAGACAGATGAAATATGTGCTCGACAAAGTTTTAATATAGCCCTCATGAACTACTAGATTTATTAGAAATAGGTTATGTATGTTCAGAAACATTGTAATGATTCAAAAGGTAGTTCGAGAATTTTCAACGATGCGCATGAATTTCATTATTTATATCCATAATTATCAGGACAATTCGAGAGACAGTATCAAGAATTTTCAATGATGCTCATGACTTCGTTATTATATCCAAAAGTATTGGAATGATTCAAGAGATAGTTTCGAGAATTTTGAATCATGCGCATGAACTTTGTTATCTATGTCAAATTGTCAGGACGATTTGAGACATAGTTTTAAGAATTTTCAATGATGCGCCTGAAGTTCGTTATCTATGTTCAAAATTATCAGGATGATTCTAGAGATAGTTTCAAGAAATTTCAATGATGTTCAGGATACTGATTATTAAAAAATTCTTGCAGATTCCGTTGGATGCCACACTGAAATACCGTATCAGTCAGCGCTATCATGAGATACTGATTACTCAAATACCACTGAAATTGCAATCATGTTCTTTTCCATGAATTCTTCTAGACTGGGCATTAGTAAAAGTAGAAAGTAGTTATTCCAAAGTTTTGAGGAAAAATATTTAACGATTTCTTAGGTTATGATCAAAAGATTCAAATGATCTCAGTATGTTGGTCCTTATTGTTAATTGCAGCTTTCAAATGTTCATAATATCTATCATGCGGCTCCCATCATCTTGAAGTTTGGCCATCCCTACCATAGCCATTGGTTGGAAATTTCGGCAACAGTTACCAATCATGAGTGCAGAATCCGAAGGATACGGTCGTCGTAGTAGCTCACATAAATTTCAGCAACAGTTGCCAGTTACCAGTCATTACTGTAGAATCGAAAAGACACGGTCATCCATTATTTGGATCAAATTGTGCTAGTTGGTTGTTTGACGGGATAATATGTAAGTACCACTGTAGAGACATTAGGTATTTTTGAAGCAGGAGACATGAAAAATCACCCGAGTAGAGATGAGGATAAACTCACTCCCATAAGATAGTTTTTTGAAAAATTCATTGAGAAGTGTCAGAAAGTCTACACTGTAGGTGAATATGTAACAATTGATGAAAAATTAGAACCATTTAAGGGACAATGTTCATTTAGGCAATACACGAAAAAAAAAAAAAAAAAAAAAAAAAAAACCTGCCAAATATGGCATAAAAATATTTGCGCTGGTTGATTCCAGAGTGTTTTATACATGGGAAATGGAAACATATGCCAGCCAGCAGCCAAAGGGGCCCTTTCAGTTTGATAACAATGCAAGCATTATTGTAAAGCGTTTGATGGAATCATTGTACAATTCTGGACGAATTTGACTGTAGATAATTGGTATATGGGATACCAGCTATCTCAGGACCTACTAAGGAAGAAAATAACTATAGTAGGAACATAACTATAGCATGAACTGTGAGAAAGAATAAGAGAGAAATTCCACCAGATTTTTTATACAAGAAACAGAGAGCATATTCTTCAATTTTTGGTTTCCAGAAAGAAACAATGATTGTTTCTTATGGACCAAGGAAAAACAGAAGTGGTGTCCTACTATTAACTATGCACAATGATAGTAAAATTGACGAAACCACTGGAGTACTAAAAAAGCC